CCTGGCAAGCTCTGCCCTGCAGAATTGGCATTTTCACTGCTGTGATGCCAAGACTGGAGGAGCTGGTCGGGACAGCAGCGGTGCCAGGGCCGGTTTGGCAGGTTTGTGTTTCAGTTCATGACAGAGGAAATCTTTATTGTGGACACAGTTCCAGGGATAAGTGGATGGAAAATGTTTTAAGGGATGATTGTGTTATAAAAAAGGGTGGAGAAACGGGCCTGGCACAGATTGTGGAGGCCAAAAGTAACTGAGAACAATGGAGAAAAGTGGAGAAAATATTAAAGAGGAGTGTGTGGTGGGCCTTCTGTGAAATTAGAGAAATGTTTTGGGGCAAATTCTGCAGAATTACTAGAAGAAAAATATCTGAGGATGCTTTAAAGCATCCCTTATAAGAGATGAAAATCAGGCTTTTTTTGAGAGATGCTCAGTGTAACAATAAWTACAAAGTAATTGACTGCCCAGGTAAAGCACCTCAACCTCCAGCAGCCACTTGTTCCACCATTTCTGACTTTACCTGCCAAGCACGCGCGTCTTAATTTGCTACAACCAACCTGAAACATCTGTCAATTTTTTCCCCATAAATTAATAATGTTTTCATTAAAATCCAGCCCCTGAATTCCTGGTTAATTAGGGCAGGAGGGGACCATGAGAGCAGCGTGGCTCTCCATGGCTTGGACTGGAATCAGGGCTCTCTGGGTGACAATTTCCCACCAGTCCATGAAGCTTTGGGWTGTTTATTCCAGCAGCCAGGATGTGCATTAGTGGGCAATCATTTATTGTTAAAATATTATCATAATATGAGTAGTGAATTTGGATGCAGTACCCAAAAATTATTTTCTCCGTGTGAATTTTTAAAGGATCTGTGTTTAGATATTGATGTTCYCTAAAATCTAAGAAAATGAGATGCAGCAGTGCTGAGCTGAGCTCTTGCTGAGAGATGTTTTTCACTTCAGGGGGCAGAGGGAGCATCACTGAGAGAAAAATGAACTCCTTGGTAAAGGCMATACCTGGGCAAAGATTGAGGATTTTCGTTTCTTTCAGGATTGATTTCCACACTGATAATTGCAGTGGCATCCAATTAATCAAATTTTTCCAGGCACTGAAAATATCAGCTCGGTTTGGGTTTGATGCTGATTTATTCCTGTAGCTGGGGTTCTTGTACCATGCATTGGTACAGAAGAATTTGGAGATTGATTGATTTGTTTTGCTTTAGAACAGCAGACAAAAATATTTGTGGCTTTATTGCCTGACCTTCTCCCACCTTTTGAGAGTCTGGCATTGAGTTTACTGAGCTTTTTTTAATTTTTTTAATTATTTCAAATTGCAAGAGATCATTGCATTTCATTGCTAATGAGCTGCTCCTGAAGCTCAGTGTGTAAATGAGAAATCCCAGTAAGGCTGAGAGGGAATTTTCCTTCATCCATCCTTCACTCCAAGCAGGTGCTCCATGAAAAATGAGGAGATTCCTTGACCAAGCTTGCCCTCTGCAGGCCTCCACCTCCCTGTGGCACTGCCTGATTTGTTTCTTTTCCACCCAGGCAAATTAAAAGTGCTGCTGACATAACAGCATTTGGATTTTTTTTTTTTTCTTTTAATAAAACAGTAATTACTTAAAAGATATTTGGGGATAGCTCTGCATTCTCAGTGCAACCCAAACATTAATTTAATTTGCCCAAATAGCTCCTGATGAGGTTTGCTGTTGTCTGAAGGCAACGAGCTGATGGAGATGATGCAGAAGGGATTTGATTTCACCCCGGAGCTGTTTGCTCAAGTGRAGCTCCCAGCTCAGGCCAGAACCAGAATCTGCTCTAATGAGCCACAGCGAGAATCCCACCGGCTGCAGCTCTGCTGAGCTGGGAAAYGAGGAAAAGTCACTGAAACAGCTTCTGGTGGAGGCTGAGAGGGCAAATACAGCCCTGAGGAGATGCAGGAGAGAATACTGTGCAGCTCCTTGCTGAACCTCTAATGACTTCTTAAGAATCTCTCTCATTTTGAAATTAAACTAAAAAAATTATCACAATTTTCACATAACAAGTAAAAGCAGGTAAGGTCAATAGCATAAATCATTTTATGAATGACAGCTGTTGAATTATTTCACTGAACATGCTCTGAGTGTGATTCTTTGAAAAGAGGACTGAAACCTAAGTAAGGTAAAGGTGTGATTTAAAAAAAAATATTTAAATAATGTAACCATCATTTAAATTAATGATACAMTATTCTGAACTTTAAAACTAACAATGCCAGATTCAAAAAAATCTCAGCATAGCTATAAAAATTAGTGTTTTTTTTTAAAACTGACATAACTTCATTAAAATCTCTGGTACAAATGAAATTACATTGACAATCCTGCTTATGTTGGTATGATTAAACTGTATTTTAGCTGAGGCTAAGCTATGCCACTCAACCCTGTTGTTTCAAAATATTGTGCAAGAGGAGTTATTTAAGCTCTTCCTTCTTTCTTTTGGTAACATACTCTGTGTGCTGGCAAGAGCCAGGAAATGTCCCTTAATGGTAATAATTACGAGTAATATTATCTCTTCAATAATAATAAAATTGTGAGGAGTGCAGTAGGAATCTCCTGGGACTCTCTGACCACCAGCCCATGAATTCTGAGGATTCCAGCCCAGAGGAGGCTGAAGAACCACACAGGCAGAACCTGGAGCCCACCAGGAGTTCACAGATCTGGGCCAATATTCTGATTTCAATGCGTAACTTTAATGCGCAAATTCCAATGAAGAAAAAAGCTTCATTGGGATGTTTTCCCCCGAGTAGCTCGATAAAATATGCTGTTTGAAACAAGATCTGACTCACATTGCAGGTTCCACAAGGGCTGATTTAAACAGGCCCTCCTTTCTGTTCCAGTGTGAAAGAGCAAATGAATTAAACACCTACGTTTAGAGGATGCMTTTCAAAATTCGGCAAACAAGAATAAATAAACAAACTCAGTTTTGACAGCTGCTGTCTGGCTCACAGCCAAATGACAGGATAACAGAAGTGTGGGAAATTGAGATGTGTTCATTAGAACAGTCTCAAATTGAGCCTCACCGGGCTGCACGATGGATTCCACCCATTTACTATAGTAAATAATAAGAAAAATACTCTAATATTCATAGAACATGATCAATTTGCCTAACAGTTCTTTGATAATTTGTTTTTCATAAAGATACTTGAAAGCACACAAAAAAAGTTGTTCTTTTCCTGAATTCCCGTGAAAACCATCCAGTAGATGGGGCCACAGAGTTGTACAAAACGCGAAACAAAGTGAGATTAGCTCTTCCCAGGAAAAACTCTCACAGTGCAAATAGAGCTTTGTTAATCCATTAAATTCTAATGTCGGGCAAATAATTTATTTGCTCACACCGTGTGGTGACTGTATGTCTCATTAAACTGTACTCAAATGCTAGTTAATACAATTCCGTGYGTGTTTGATACCGAAATAATTACAACTCTCAGCCAACAAAAATTACAGCYGAGATCTTCATTTTCATTCATGGTCCGCTCATTCCCAGCTCTCGTACTGTGTGATATTCAGGCTTGTGATCAAGTGAACGATGGAAATGATTGATTTTAATTGCAGCAAGACAGTCCCGCGTRTGGAAAGGTGTCTGTGGCAGGAGGAACGCGTTAGTGGCTCCTGCATCACGCAAAAAAATGACTTTGTGAATGTAATTCGGATGCTCTGTGGGGATTTTTCCCGTTTCTTTGAGACCTTTGCGTTTTCCTTTTCAATGTGTGGATCAGAAAGGACAGGGAGGGTTTGAGAGGAGCTGTAGGAGGTGCAGGAGCAGCCCCGGGGTCTGTGCAGCGGTGGGTGCAGAGGTTTGGGCTGTGTTTCACATGGGTGCAGAGGTTTGAGCTGTGTTTCACATGGGTGCAGAGGTTTGAGCTGTGTTTCACATGGGTGCAGAGATTTGGGCTGTGTTTCACATGGGTGCAGAGGTTTGGGCTGTGTTTCACATGGGTGCAGAGGTTTGGGCTGTGTTTCACATGGGTGCAGGGGTTTGGGCTGTGTTTCACATGGGTGCAGAGTGCTCCCAGCAGCAGAAAGGGCTCTCAGCTTTGCCTCACGAATCGCCAAGTTACTCGTGGATTTTGCGGTGAATTGGGAGCCACCTGAGCGAGCGCTGCCTTGGAGCGGGGGCTCGCAGGGGGAATCGTGGAAAAATGAGCCCGGGGAGGGCAGGAGGTGCTCCGGGTCGGGGTGAGGGACTGACCCGCCCGTGTGGATCTGCCGGGAAGAGCTGGGCAGGTGGGGCACCCCGGCCCGTCCCGATATAGGGCTGACCCCGCGATCGGGTGAGCTCGGACACGGGGGATGACCGGGGGGGAGCCCGGCCGGGCTGGAGAGTGTCGGGGACAGCCTGAACCCGGGGATGCCCGGCGGGTACCAGCGGGACCCCTACCCCAGGGGATGCCCCGGTGGGATCCCATCCCTGGCGGATGTTGGGGAGAGCTCTACCCCAGGGGATGCCCCGGTAGGATAGGTGGATATCGGGGGGACCCCTAACCCGGGGAATGCCCCGGTAGGATCCCATCTCAGCGGATTTCGGGAGGAGCCCTAACCCGGTGGGATCCCATCCCAGCGGATATCGGGGGGACCCCTGTCCGGGGGAATGTCCCGGTGGGATCCCATCTCAGGGATGTCAGTGAGAGCTCTAACCCGGGGGATGCCCCGGTGGGATCCCATCCCAGCGGATATCGGGGACAACCCTGCCCGGGGGGATGCCCCGGTGGGATCCCATCTCAGGGGATGTCAGTGAGAGCCCTACCCCGGGGGATGCCCAGGCGGTCCCAGCCCCGCGGGGGCGGTGCGGTGTTGCCCGTCTTGTCCCGTCCATTCCCGTCCCATCCCATCCCATCCCATCCCATCCCATCCCTCCCCTCCCCTCCCATCCCATCCCATCCC